GGTGGTTGTAAGGTTTTTCACTAAATACGGGTTGTAAAATATTCTTGAACATGAGTCACTTAAAATTATAGTCCGTGGATCCAAGGAAGTCACTGAGAAAATGGAGCACGATAAAACATGGAATAGAGGCAAACTGCGAGACTCCTCTGTGGGATGTGGAGTTTTGACAGCTAAACCCAGTCCCTGTCTTGCTGGAAGGCTTGATCTTAACGTCGGGGAAAGAGGGCAGCAGACCCCTCTGGCTGACCCAAGTTCGGAGTCTGTAAGACCTCTTCAGAACAAACTGATAAAGACCCCAGCTCTGGGAGAAGAGAACTGGCATTATTTTATGAAGCGGTACGGCCAATCTTCTTTGAACCCTAATTTCTGTCAAAGAGTTATCATCACTGTCACAGTAAGTGATACTTACAGCACAAATGGCAATTAACTAGAAGTAAATAGTAGAGCAGAAGTCTGCAGACTGGTTTTTAAGGTTGATGAGATGAAAGTAGTTTCAGCACATTAATGCTAAGCATTCTAAATCATCCTGTGCCCTGAAAGAGACAGTAATGTCATTCACCCGAAATCACCAGGCACTGCTGTCACATGTATCAGGGATATGCTCGAGTGCTTCAAATATGTGAGCATGTTATAGGAATCAGTAGTAGTTTGTGAGTCTGTCTGTTTTCTCTTGTCGGATTTTCCATAAAACAAGTAACCTGTTTGTTTTTCACTGTTTTAGGTAGCCTGCCCTATGAATACAAGATTGTGATAGCAGGAAATCATGAATTGACCTTTGACCAGGAGTTCATGGCTGACTTAATCAAGCAGGACTTTTACTATTTCCCCTCTGTTTCTAAGCTGAAGCCAGAGAGCTATGAAAATGTACAGGCTCTTCTAACAAACTGCATCTATCTTCAAGACTCCGAAGTGACGGTGAGGGGGTTCAGAATATATGGCTCCCCTTGGTAAGCAGGTTTTTAAGCATACATAAAAACCCATACTGTTGATTGCTATCACATCGGCCGTTTTGTATGCATCAGCTATATTTGGATTGCTGCGTTAGGGAGAAAAGTAATACTCTGATAAAGTTTTATATTTTCTTGTGATGAATCATTCCTGTGACAAAATAATGTACTTGTGTGTGGGTATTGTTAACCAAATAATGATGGGAAAAAGACAGCATGCTCTTTAACTCTCAGCCAGGAGCAGTTCTCCGACACTGTCCTTGTACGGGGGTTTTGTGCCATAAAATATGTTTTCTCCACTTAGTAAGTTTATATAATTACAGGTTAATTTTATTGCAAGGGTACATTCTTTTGACGATTTCCATCCTACAGATAATATTTACGGTTCATTAGCGTATATAGCAATCATTAACGCAGCAAGCTTGTTTCAGTGTTTGCTTAGGATTTTTTTTTTTTTTTAATATCCCGCAGAATCTTACTTTCTTTTATAGAGTAATAGCTTTCCTCAAGGTATAGTTGAGCTTCTAAAGTCAACAAATCAGTGGCAACCTGGTATTTTATGGATTTTGCTCTGCTGTGTAGAGTGAACGCTTAGAACTCCCTGACAGTATTGGAGACAGATGGGTTTGGCTTCCTGACCTCCACCTTGGACCTTGTATGTGTTGCTTCTGTGTCTCTTGCCTATGTTACTTTACAACTACATTTATTTCTGCTAACAGCACTGCAAATTGGATCTTTTATTAGTATTTGGTATACATTTAAAATCAGTTAAAATTGATCTTAAAAGGCATGTTTTCAAGGAAAACCATTATTCTTCCTTTTAAAATCACATCAGGTTGGAATGTAGGAAACAAGTTGTCAAACCTGATGCATATACTCCAATGTGAATTTTCAGTGTGAATAAACTGTGAAATCTCTTGGATTTTTTTTTTTTTTAATGAAAATTGGCATTTTCCCATTTGGTTACTTGAGATGGGTGTTCATTTTCTATGAGCTTATTATTCTACATTTGTCTACATTAAATAGTTTCCCTCTTAAATGCACCCTTCTCTCTCTCCCTCTTAGATCTCCAGATCTTTCTGGGCTTTTTTTCAACCTACCCACCTGCTGTGATGTAGTTCATCTTCCTCTTGTGTCTACTCTGTGTTCAATCAATGTACAATTTACTTCATTTTCCAAATTATTAGGGAAGATATTAGATGGTATCAGTCCCAATATTAACTTCTGAGAAATGCCACTTGGCATCTCTTCCCATTTTGATGTTCAACTGTAAATACTGTAATTATGTTCTGTTTATAATACGTCTGGCAATTTCGTATCTTCACTGCAAAATTCATAACCAGGCACCATATTTCCAGTGTCAGTAATAATTTTCCAGGCAATAAACTACCAAAACTCCCGTAAGTCTAAATAAATTAAATTGAAGCAAAACACTAGATAAAACTGCACCAAGCAGAGGCTAAAGGAAACCATTTGAACTTTCTGTGTATGATTAGATCTGTAAAAATCTGTTGAGAAAACTTTAGTCCACCCACTAACCCATAAATAATGTTTCTGTAAAATCTGGTCTGCCTCATTCCTTTGTGTGCTAATCCTGTAGTTCTGCACAAGTTGTGTAAGCTATCTGGCATGACCTATTCTTCTTGAAAAAAGGTTGCTTTCCATCTTCTATGCATCTTTAGGTCATTGCTAAACTTCCACGCTGCATGTTTCACAGTGTTGCTAACTCATCTCCTACCCCCTTACGGTGCTGGATGAAAAGTGTTGCAAGGTCCCTTGAAGATCTTTGCTTGCTCCTTGTGGGAGAGAGTCTTGATGAGGGTCTTTTAGCCGTGCTGGATTTTTTTTTTTTTGTTACTATGCAATGCTGAATGAAGTTTCCATGCTAATTGATGTCATGTCCAGTGGAAACAGCAACAACAGCAGTAATAGCAGTAATAAGTCGCTCCTTGTCATTCTATCAGGCCAGCAGGTGCAGGACTAACAAAGTCACATCAGCCAGCCCACCAGTCAGAAAACTGAGGAAGAGAAACTGCTATTTTGTGTGGGTTAAACTAGCTGCCTGCTAGATTGAAGACTGCAGTACAAGTCTGTGCCAACTGATCGCTACTGCTCTTTAGCATTTCTTCTTGTTTCTAAACTTCATTCAGCCTGAAAAGAGAGGTTTATCATAGCCTCTCTGAGTAATCAATCTCAGTTTCTTTCTACACCGTAGTATTGTAATTTCTAAAAAAACTACAGAACTTTGGGAAATTTTCCATGGTGAATCTTTTTTGTCCTTGCATTATGAAGCCGGTCCTTTAGGAAATGCTTATGAATCTAGTCAAGACTTTAAAATTTAGAGCTCCTTAAGATCTCAGAACTCAATGAGAAAGCTAAATTTCATGCAGTTAAGTATCCTAAAATATTTTCTTTTCCAGCCTTGAAAATCATGCATATAGCTTTTTGAATGAATTTATTTAATTGGAGAACTCCCAATTACAGTTTATGTTTGTTGTCCATACATGACACTATTTAATGAGAAGGTAAGCTATCAAGGAATTAAAAGACTGGGACCCCAGATCCTGCCTTTCCTTTTCTGTATCAGCCCTGACCTTGTATCCTACTGTCACCCTTTGTAAAAATAAGCTACAGATATCCCTCCTTTATAAAAGAGGTTAATCAATAGTTGCAGAGTACTTTGAGAATGCTGGAGTAAGGTCTGAGTCAATGTCAACCAGCATTAACTTAGTGTGTTTACCTGTAGCCATCTGCATTTTTATATAACCTGTACACAATTCGATTGTACTTCTGCTTGAGATGTTTTAATTGCAGAGTAAACCACGAGAGCCTGGTTGGTTTGCATAACATGCCAGTCTCTCAGGCCTTTTAAATCCGTACCCTTTGTGTGTGGTTACATATATTCAATAGCGCTTGGGTATTTTGACCTCTATTATTATTTAAAACTCAGTGGTTGTTTTTAATTGCATAGAAGAAATAGGACACTGTCTTGTCTCAGAAATCAATGCTGTAACTCTCTTGAGCTCCAAGGGCAAGATTTGAGGTGCCAGATTGAGCCTCTACGCACTAACGAAAATTTAACTCCCTTAAATGTTAATTACGCTGGTGTTGTCATCAAGCAGGGAGCAACCATTTTGGAATGCAAGCTGCAAAGCACAAAAGCTGCTCTTTGGGAATTAGCATTTGCAACACCAGTGTCTTGGACCACGGATTATCTGTAGAGGTGATGAGGGAGAGGGGTGTAAAAACATCAGAGGCTTCATGAGAAACTGGGGAATACCAAGATGCTAAATGTGGCCAGAGCCATTCTGAAGTCGCAGGGCGGCTGTGTTTGGTCCAGGGGACCGATGCTTTCGACAGCGAGATCTGCATGAGCAGGGCAGCGGTAAGAACGCAACGTGCTTCCTCCTAGTGTAGCCCAGAGCGTTGGTTTCTTTTCTCATACAAAGCCTGGACACAGTGATTGTTTTCACAAAAAGCTAAGCACAGGGAGATGCACTCTGGTTTCATCCCAGCAAAACCCAGGACATGGCCAGAAGATGCTCACGGGCCTGGAAGCAATCTTGTGTAGAGAACAGCCGTAGTTGCTGTGAATGTAAAACAAGGACTTCGGTTCCTCAGTAACATTTATTGTAAGTTGGAAAGCTTCTGGTTGGAAAGTACTTTTAAACACCCTAATTTATTCTGAACTACCATGACAAAAGTCAAACTGGCAGATAGAATAACCCAAATAATTCCCTATAGTAATTTCTGTATGATGTACCTTTGACTATTAAGCTTTCCCAAAGATGAAGCCGTTTTGTGTGTGGGGGGTTAATTTGTTTTAATTAATTTGTTCAGTAGCATACAAACCCGTAAGATAGAAATAAAAATACAGCAAGCAGGAACCCCAGAGAGGTGGCAGAGAATCTCTCCTTAGGTGTTTCCAAGACTTGGCTAGACAGTCATGGCTGACCAGCTGTGCTGGTGATGAGTGGTAGGGAGTGGTAAGTTTGGTGACTAAAGATCACCAGCGGTGCCTTCTGAGCAGCGTTCCTGTGATTTTGTCAGTCCCACTGTGGAACTAGAACTAGGTGTCAGTGTTGATACCTCAAATGAAGAGCATCGACAGGGTCCTTACAGCAGGGAGCTTTGGTGTTGATATCAAACTCCCTACAAGCTGGAGATGGTCCTGGCAGGTGGCTTGGTAGCCAGGAAGCCGAGATAATCAAGGAAATTTGAACTTGGATTTGAAGTAGAATGTCTTTTCTGTGTCATCAAACTGGATATTATGTCTATGATGATGTCATTCAAGGAACCATATTAATAAATGATTAGTGGGTATTTCAGTTACAGCTTTTCAGCCTTCAGTTATAGATGATTGCCCCCACAACGTGCTACTGTTTTGCAGGTAAGAGTTTTGGTGTTAGCTACAGCTGGCACGAAGATACCCAATAGGATCCACTTGTGCCTCTGCACTGCTAAAGATTCCAATTGCACAGTCGCACACTGTGTTTGCACAAAAAACCCTGGCGCGTTCAGTGCACCAGATCTGCTGTGCTGGCTGAATGAGTCACCTATACCTTATTCCTTTTATACTCATTACTCAGGATTCCCATGTGAAAATAAATGCCTCTAAAGGTGCAGGTACCTTTTTGTATCGACGTGAGAACATCTCTCTGAGGTTCATACTTGGACGTGTGGTCCTGAGCGTTGCTGTGTCTGCTTCTTGCGTTTCCAATAATGGACTCTGCCCTACTATATGTTTTTTCCATTGAGTTTTCCAACTCTGTGCGTAACTAACTTGGCTCTGTGTTCTCCTGTGGCATGCAGTAACTGATGGTAAGACCTGAAGACTAATGAACTGACCTGATCAATAATCAGAAGCTGTTTGTTATACTGGCTGTCCCCCCAATGCCTAATATTGCACCCTTGCCTCAAATGTACAGAAAAAGATGTGCACCTGCAGAAGTACACATATTCTGTGTGTAGGCTCTAGTCTTGTGGAAAATGACAGGAAT